GAACCAGTCCGGCATACCCTAGAAGTACTGGCCGTGCGCCATGAACCATGCCGTCCGCCTACACAACCTGCTCTCCACCACAACCAACCGGGGAAACCTAACCCCGCACATGAAATGGACGGGCTCAAGGGGAGATATCTCCATGCTGATGGTCTGGGGGTGTGTCGTGCAGTACCAGCCGACATCAGCCACCATTGGCAAGTTCACCGCGCACGCTGGGGAATTCATCTGGGGCTCAGTTATGAATATCGAGGATGGCTAATCCTCGACATCGACATCAAGCGGATCGTCCCCGCGCGCAACATACTCTTCTACGAGCGACTCACCTTGCAGCAGTGGATTGACGATCAGCGCAGCAACGTCGCACGCGCCTATGCCAACAGCGGCCGCAGCAGCAGTCCCAAAGACGAGCAGCAGCAGCACCCCTCGACCGCGATACCGCCGACGAACACATCTCGGCGTCCCGCCTCGCCCGCGCAACGATAACAACGACGATGACAGCGACGATGCTCCCGCACCTGGATCATCCCGCCAAGTTGAATCAAGCACTTCCTCACCTGGCCATGAGAGCGACGACGATGACTATGTGGTGGAAGTCCCCATCACGGCCACCACAGACACCACCAACGTGTCCGGCCTCCAACTCCTCGGCCTGCACACCTCCGTCTCAAACCTCATACGTGCCGTCGAGCCCAAGCACCCACGCCAGGCCCTCACCGGTCCTCACGCTTAGGAGTGGCGAGCTGCTATGGACACAGAGATCAAGGCACTGGAGTCGCGTGACACATGGGTTCTCGTCTATCGTGTAGCAGTGAAGGGGGGGAGGGTGCTAAGCAGAAAATGTTGTTTTGTTTTGTTTTTCTTTTTGCTTGAAAATCAACACCGACGGCACTATCGAGCGCTTCAAGGCACGCTGGGTCGTACACGGGTATGACCAGCGTCATAGCATTGACTTCGATTAAACCTTTGCTCCCATCAGCCGCCACACATCCGTAAGGATCCTGTTTGCTATCGCCACCACTAAGCACCTACCACTGCGGCAGATCGAAGTCAAAGAATGCGTTCTTATACGCACTAGTGGATGCAACCATCTTCGTAGAACAACCACACACCTATGGAGGAGGAGACCACAAGGCCTGCCAACTGAAGAAATCCCTCTACGGGATAAAGCAGGCGCTGTGGCTCTGGCAGCAGCACCTGCACAAAATACTCCACGGCTTCAGGCAGCTGCCGCACGACCCGAAAATGTACCGCCTCCACTTCAACGGCGACTACATCTTCCGAACCGTCTACGTCGACGACCTAATGTACACCGACACCTGCAAGAAACTCCTTAATCAGTTCGAGGAGAACCTGGCGCAGCGCGTCGACATTACCATCAACCACAACGCCACACAATTTCTGGGCCTGAACATCACCTAAGCGCTAGAAGCGATTCACATGTCAGCCTCCAAGTACGCAGAGCAACTAGGAGAAGGCTTCAAAATTTCGCCCGCACCACTCTTAACTCCTTACCGCAACCCCAGCGCCAACTACAAACCGGACAACAAACCTCTATCACCCGCAGGACTCCAACTGTACCAGCAGCATGGGGTGTCTGCGATACGCCTCTGTCACATGCCGACCCGACCTTTCGTACATCGCCAGCCAACTAGCACAGTACTCCCGCAAGCCAGTAGCCGAGAACCAGCTGGACTTGGAGCGCGCCCTGCAATACTTTATCTCCACACCTGACATGTGGCTCTCCTACTCCATGCTGACAATAACCTCCTTCAACCTTAACGGCTACGCAGACGCAGATCATGCCGCTGACCCTGCGAATCGACGGTCCCGAACGGCTTCGTCTTCTGACTGGAGCCAACTGGACCATCTCCTGGAACTCACAGTAGCAGGAGATGGTTGCCCTGTCATCGGCCGAAACAAAATACATTACCGCGACAGCAGCAGTTCGCGAAGGTCTGTACTTGCAGGAGCTGTTACAGGAAGCGAAAATTCCAACTTCACCCACCTTTCGCATTCACTGCAACAACCAGAGCGCCATTAATATAGAAAACAAGCCAAGGTTCGTGAACCGCACAAAGCACATTGCGCTCCGATACTTTTTCGTCAAAGACGAAACTGACCAAGGTAAAGTTGACCTCGCATACTGCCCTATTACTGAGACGGCAGCCGCCTTCCTCACCAAGCGACTACTACACAAGCAGTACAAACACTGCTCCGACCTCACTAGAGTAGTCAAGCGAGTCAACTCTCTGCGCGACCAAGAATGAAAGGGGAGTGTTACGATATGAAACGTTATGAGAATGCATTCCCGTATGATGTAGGAGCCGACTCTAGCGAGTACAAAGTCAAGGCGCCAGAAGAACCAAAGCGACACCGGCAACCGTCAGACCAAGACCGATGCAGGCAGAAACATTTGAAATGAAAAGAGCGGGAACAGGTTTGAAACTGGTTCCCGCGCCGCACGGTTTGAATTTTGCTGCAATAAGGGAATGTACAACTTAGTGTACATGGCTAGTCTAGGTCGTTTTGCATTCCTTTGTATGTCCCATATGAACTCGATGTATGCATGCTATTATCATCTCAGTCATTTTACATTCACTCTGACCTGAGTTCAACACTTCCGCTGCAAACACTCCCTGCGATCAACCCTGAACGATCCTTCGCTAAGTCCCTTTTTGGATTGTAACACAACCAATTTGTACAACCTCCCTTGATTGAGTGAACCACATTTTTCTCTCAAGTACCCCTCCCTTTCTCCTTCAATAAGGGTCTACAATATTGTAATCTCCTGGTTAAAAGCCCTGAGGGTCTTATATATATACATGTATATATATATATTTTCTAATTTCGATTAGGCCTAGGTGAACAATAGGGAGTGGTATTTCTAAAAAGACCCATAGACATGATAAAAATGCATTTAAACGCTGAATTTGGAATTTGTTACAGGAATGCAATTCAAGCCAAGGAGTTCACAATTCACTTCATGTTGCGGGTTCGACACTTTACTCTTTGGATGCTGTGAACCGCCACACGTCACATTGCTAGGCCACGGTGGCGGAATTACAACGCACCGCTGTTCTAGCGGTGAGTCTATATGAATGCATACTCGCGCAGCGCTGTGGAAAGAATTTGGTCAGGGGCGCAATTATTCCCCCCCAGAACGTACCATCAGTGCCATGGTGGCAGGGGTTTCGGTGGGTGACGTCCGCGTCTCGCTAAAGGGTCCCCTCGAGAACCTTCGTACCATGCCAACCTTTCTAGGGTTTCAGTGGGACGTGAACGAAGCGACCATCACGTCTCTCAACAACCCGTCTTCAGAAGGGGGTAGTCCGTACGCGAACGGGTCATTCTTGCGTTTTTGGCTAGCGTTTCAACCCCATCTCCCTCCCTATCGTTCAGCAATGGGGTGTTCCCCGCTTTGTTGTTTCCTTTGGCTGCTCTAGCAGGCACCATGCCCGCCCTAGAAATGCTCATAAGGATGAAGGCTATTAGTGCAGCTTGCGCTATATCATCCCTGGCTAACGCACCGCCGATCCCACTGGCTCCTCCGAATCCTCCGTCTCCGCCGGCGCCGCAAGCACCGCCAGCACCACCATCGCCACCACCCCCTGCGGTACCATTCGCCACCTTATTCCCAGATCCGTTTGAACCTGTGGGTGAAGAGGACGATTTCCCACTCCCTACTGCTGACGTCGATACTTCTACAGGTGCTGACGCTGACATCGTTAATGACGACTATGAGGTACCGGCGTACCCGCTGCTGCAGTTCCCTCCGGTCATTCTGTCTGATGAGGAAACCTCCCTCACAAATTGTGATACCAAAGCGGTCTTCGCGGACAATGGAAGGAAAAGAAGATGTCGCTCAAGAGGATGACCGCCGAGAATATGTCGGTGCACGAAACGGCAAGGATGGCTGGCATTGAACGGGTCAGCAACCAGCATTGGAAGAAGGCGGCGACACAATTTTTTGACACGGCAGCAAGTCGGCGTCGTCTCTGCGGTGGCGGCCGGATAACGAAGTACCCCAACATGGAGTCGTCGGTGTACAAGAAGTTCCTAATGTATCGCGCGCGTGGCCTGACAGTCCTGGTCAAACACCTACAACTGTGGAGCCGGTTGTCGATGAAGAACCGCCACCCCGAAGTAGACCGGCGTGCCTCTCCGCACTGGATGCAGCGTTTCAGAGCAAGATTGTCTCACCGTTCATGTGAAGAATGCGATTGGGCAGTGACTAACAAAAGGTAAGCGTCGGTTTTCCCTATGTCGTCTGTTTGGTCTTCGAACTCAGTCTATGTGCTTCTCACTTTGCAATTTTCTTTAATGTCTTTCTCCATCATCCGAAGACTGCAAGAAGAAGTGCAAGAGCTTTTGGAAGTTATGTTGCAAGCAGGTCGTCGAAAATGGGATCGACGTTTGGAACATGGTCAACATCGGCCAGACTCTTGTGTTCTTGGAAATGCCCTACGAGCGCACTCTTCACCATAGAGGCAAACTCACCGTGCAGATCCACAGTGCAGACTAAGAGAAGGAACGGATGACCGTCATGCTTGCCGTGGATGGACGCAGCCTCGGAATGGACTGGGAGCAGCATGTGCTTCTCGCGCACACCAAACCTCCGCCAGGTCTCACAAGGTCTAAAACCTTCTTGGTACTTGATAGCTATCGTGGGCATCTGACGGAGGGAGTGCTAGCAACTCTGCGCTGGCAACACATCGTGTCTGCAATCATCCCGAGGGGTTGCACTCCTCTCGTGCAGCCGCTGGACGTCGTCATCAACCGGACCTTCAAGACGCGCGTTTAAGAGCTGTACAACCAGAGGTTCGCGAGCGTCGGCATCGACCCCTTCACCCCCGCTGGTAAGTCGACGTCGCTACCGTTGATCGTCGTCAACATACTACCATATGCAACCTTTTGCTAACACATGTTGGCTTCTGTTCCCTAGGAACCTGAAGAAGCTGCCAGTCGACCTCGTTCTGAAGTGGATTGCAGAAGCGTGTATGGAAGTCCTTGCGGAGACAATCGAGCGGTCATTCAAGACCTGTGGCATCGGCAACCGAGTAGACAGCGCAAAAGACCACCTCATCTTAGCGCACATGCAGGATGCGGCACAGGTAGAGGTGCACGACGATGCGCATGCCGCTGGAGACATAGAGGAGTGGATCAACCCACTCTATATGACTGGCGCCCAGGAGGAGGAGGAGACTGGCGCCATGTTATCTGATGATGAGTAGGTAGTGTAGTGTAGGTAGTGTAGTGTCGGTAGGTAGGCATGACTATGACTACAGTACCATCTAACGAAACGTGCGTAGGTATTAATAGTAGTACTTGTAGGATGATTAATGTACCGGTAGTTGAAATTTCATGAAAAAATGGTAGAAAAAAACCGTTAACAAAGAAAGAGGGGGTCTTATAATCGTAAGTCAAAATAGGTGGGTCCTCAAGAAAGGAGTTGGAATAAAAGACCCGTAGTCCGAAAAGAAGACCCGAGGGCACACACGCGGGGGGGGGGGGGGGGGGAGGGGGGGGGGGCCTGGGGGGGGGGGGGGGGGGGTTGGGGCGGGCTTTTAGCCGGGAGATTATGGTATGTCGGTTTCACACTCCCTTGCAGGTCCTTTAGCATACAAATTGTTGAGAAAATATTATATATATATGTATATATATGAACCACGTACGTAGCCTAGTGTAGCATAGTTACACATACTGGTGGTGCACCCTTTTGCTCTTGCTCTCTTTGTACACTCTCCTTTTGACATGGTAACAAAGCAGGTTCCTATCTAGAACCTTCACTTTTTTTCTGACCTATGGCAGCCTCCCTCTCGAGCGACCATTGTGGCCTACTGGCCGCTGCGGACCCCTGTTACGCCCCCCCGTCGCGCCGATTGAGCCCCCCCCTCCTCCCCTCTCCCCCGTCGCAACCCGGTTGCGGCCCCCCTTTGCCCCCCCCCCCTCCCCTCCCCTCCCCTTCGTTGCTACCCATTGTCGACGTCCCATGTCGATCTCGTGGCGACTGTGGAGCTGTGCCCGCGCCTGCTACTTGGCCCTGCCGCGACAGACGCTGCGAGGGGAGGTTGTGGCGGGGTTGGCGACCGAGTCTGAGGTGCTCAAGCCTCCTTAGGCCCCTGACCCCCCTTTCCACCCTCTCCACCTCCCCTCCCTCCCCTTTGCTGTCGCTCCTTCCCTCTTTCGCCCTCACGCGGCTGCCATGGTGGAGGGAAGGCAAACGGGGAGTGCTGGCAATGAGACTGTAGCACTGGCCACCTCTCTCATCTCTCCTCTCATTACGTCCTCCTGCTCTCTCTCCCTCCCGCCTGCACTCTTACGCCTCCTCCTCCTCTCTTCCTCTCTTTCCTCCTTGTGTCTTGGTGATGAGCAATTGCTACCATTGCAGCTGCTGCTGCCACACCTGCTGCCGCTGCAGGCACCCGCATCTGCTGCCGTTGAGCACTTGCGGCGCCGCGCCGTGCAAGTTCAGCTGGTGCGCGGCACAGAAAATTGCGAAGGACCAGAGAAGATGGGCCGCATGGGCATGGACCATGGATGTACGGGCGGTCTTCATAACCAAGCTTATGCTGCGTCCAGCAACCCCATTCTGCTGCGGCGAGTCCAGACGCGTGAAGGACTCGGTGGTGCCCTGCTCAGGACAAAACTCGGCAAGTACGGTAAAGCAAACCTCGCCCGTCCGTTCGAAATAAAGACAAAGCACATAGTGAGAGTGCTGGGCGCTGGTGTCCAAAAACCACGAGACTAGAGCATCAGGCACGTGTGCCTTCTGTTGAAGGGGAAACACTGTGGTGTACCGGGAAAAGTCGTCCACGTCAACAAAAGAACCTTTTTCGCGACCGAGGCAGGGCCACATACCTCCAAAAGCTAGGTTTGAAGAGGCGTAGTGGTAGGCGAGAGGAAGGAGGAGCCAGGGGTGGCGCGCTGCCTACTTGACGCTAGGAGTGCACGGCAGAGCAGTCGAACGAGGGAGCGGAGGAAGCAAGTGCGGTAGATCTGTCACAAGACAGGACATAGGTATCTGAAGGGTGATAAAGACGGTGGTGCCATAAGAGCGACCGACACTCACACGGCGCAGCAACCTGAACAGACACAGCTACCTGGGGGAGCGCAGTGTGAAATATGAAGAGACCAACAAGGCTCCCGAGAGAACGTCGCTAGACGTGCCCCGGTGGAAACATTCGTATGGGCTGCAAACTTTTCATAATGCAAAAAATGTGACAGTGACCCCACAATCTTGAAGGTTTCCAACACCCACTAAGTTCTTGGAGAACGAGGGGATATGGGGACCTGTGAGAGAACCAGAGGGGACATCCAGACACAGGATTGTGGTAGAACTGCTCGCGAAGGCTGGTACTGAAGTGGGATTAGCCAAAGCAACTAAGACTGGTGCCGGGAGTAGTGTGGTTGCAGAAGAAGCATAGAGATGTGCCGGATTCAAGCATGACGGAGAGAGAGGCATCAGCAGTAGTTGCACCTAGGCTAGTAACTATACAAGAACGTACACCAACAATAGGCAATGATCCTAGTCTAGGTACATGCGAGCAAACAGATATGTCGACACTATTGTCAACACGAGCATACATTGGAAATAAGCATCATCCGTGTTCATCTCAAACGTGTTAAGATAGTAGGCATAGTGAAGACAAGAAGATTAGGGTTCAACCTAGGCATGAGAGAGATGTCCAAGCAAGAAGAGGCTTGAACTATAGAATCACAATGACAAATAGAGGAGAAGCATGCAAGGAGTGGTGCACCACCACACAGAACAACTATGGGACTATACTACAGCTAGAACTACATGCACTTATACAAAATATATTCTGACACACCCCTAAGTGCATGCAAGAATAGCCATGTGCAGAACACCCCTAAGTTGGTACACCCTGCAGGGCGCAGCAGAAGAAGAGGCGAAGTGAGGAGGAGGAGGAGGAACTGTGAGAGGAGAGAAGTTAGGAGGCGGCGGCTGAAGCTGCTGGCACACGGGCGACTGGAGCAACTGGCACACAGGCTACCGGAGCAAGGGCATCTGAACTACAGGAGTAACTGGCTCCGCGGCTAGACGAGCGGCTGGAGCAACTGACCCACGGGTGACTGGCGCAAGGCAGGGCAAGGCTTGCGCGGGGCTGTGCAACGCAAGGGAGGGCAGGGCAGGGTGTGCGCTAGCGACGCAACGCAGGGTAGGGCGCGGGGTAGCGCGGTAACCGCAGTCAGTTGGTGGGCCCGAAAAAAACGGTCCTACGGAACACTGAAACCATGTCAAAACTATGAGCAGGAATGAATGAACTATGGCAGGGTTGGGTACAAATAGAAACCCTAAAGGGGTTGTACCCCATGCCCACTACAGCCTACCATTGTAACATAACATATACTGTTTGACAATTCTCGGCAATCAGCTTCGCGCATCGGTCGATCGGCGCATCATGCCCGTCCACTGGCCCATTCACCTTACAAGTCAGGGAGTTCGCAAAGAAGCAATGCTCGCATCCCACCAGGGCCAAAAAAACTGTTTCACTATATTAAGTGCATGCGATGGCATCAGAATTTCTATAATCGGACAACCCCCGCGAATTTCAAAAGGGCCTAATACTGATTATAATGTACGCCGGGTTCCTGCGCTACTCCGACCTCGCAGTCATCAACTGGCATGAGATTTATTTAGAGTCAGAAGTCATGTGGCTACTAATCCCCCGTTCTAAGACGGACAAGACAGGAGAAGGCATATGGGTCCCGGTAGCTGCAAGCTCGGGCCCTTTCTGCCCCGTTCGCTGCACCAAACAATTCATACACTTGGCTAAATATGACCAATAAAAACAAGGTCCGCTCATCCGCGTCTTTGGAACAGCGGGCGGGGAAGGCGGGATCACAAAGCCGCCATCCTACACTACATTTCATAAAATTGGTCTCTGTTTCGAGCACCTTGGAACCCACTCCTTCCGAAAAGGTGTAGCGACCGTTGCAGCCAACGTTGGAATATCTGACCGAATCGTGAAGCGATTAGGACGATGGAGAAGCGACACTGCGAAGGAAACGTACATCATGCCTGCTGCAGACCAACTGGTGGAAGCATCGAAGCACGTCCAAGACCCAGCACAATCCTTCTCCCCTGCACAACATGCCACGTTACTGGCGCACCAACGGCGACCGACACGACACATGTCTCAGAAGACCCATTTGAAATGAGACGATGCCATTGCTACAACAAGAAAGCAAGCTTTCTAAATATAAATATTTTTAAAGCTGTAAAGCTTTTCAAAATTGTGTATTTTGAAAGCGAAGCGGCTTGTAATGTAGCAATGGTCATCGGCGAACTGCGCTAAACGCCCGTTTTGGAGTACAAAACGTGGGCTGGAGGTCATTTCCCTCCACCCACGTCTCTCATTTTTCAAACGGTTTAGTCAAGTTTCCCGCCCACCCACCCCCTAGAATAGTGAATGATAGTTAAATGTGCCACAATGAATTATATTATGCCAGCTTGGACCTACTTGTACTATCTCATTTGAAATGAGACGATGCAATTGCTACAACAAGAGAGCAAGCTTTCTAAATGGTAAGTTTTAGGTAAATACTGCACGCGCGTGAAGTTTTCGATTTCTGACAAATAACATCCCGGTCCCCATTTACGTGCAACAATAGCCCAGAATTGTCAAACATTATATGTTTATATGGTTGTAGGCTGTAGTGGGTTACGCCTTAGGGGGTACACTGGATTAGGGTTTCCTATTTGTATCCAGCCTTCTGTTAGTACAGCCATTCCAGTCCGTTATTTCTGACATGGTATCAGAGCAGGTCCTTCGCTAGGACCGTTCTTAGGGCCCACCGTTACCTACATACCTACCTACCTACCGTGCGCCTCGTGCGCCTACGCGCCCTCGTGCGCCTCCTACCTACCGCGCGCGCGCAGCCCGCCAGCCGCCCGCGCGCGACTCGAATTTTTTTTTTTAGCGCGCGTATCCCGCTAGCCGCCCGCGCGCGGTCGATTTCGCTGCGCGCGCCCCGCTAGCTGCACGCGCGCGCCTGTTTTTTATTTACGCGCGGCCCCGCACGCTGCCCGCGCGCTGCCTGTGCGCCTCGCTGACGCGCCCGCTGCTGCAGCCGCCCGTCGCCCGCTCGCGCACACCCCGCCGTGGCCCCGCAGGCCCGCAGCTCGCCGCCGCAGCTGCCGCACGCCCGTTGCCCGCAGCCGCCCGTCCGCCGACGCCGCTGCCGCCCGTGCACCGACGCCGCTGCC